CGTAAGATATATATTCTTCATGAAGTATTTGACATCAACCTTGTGTAGAAAATAGTAGAGACAGGTTATGGAGTTGAGGAGCAGGAGAGGAATGTTTTTTCAACCTGAAATGTCCTTAATCTTTTTAGAATGAGAAGCAGTTGTTCTCCCTCTTTTGCTCTCTAGATTTCACAAGGAACAAGGGCTTAGAACTAAATGTTGATGAATTACTCTAGTGCCACTTAATTTTATCTCCTTGGTTTCCCTGGCTCTGAAGAACTACATTATATCCTTTTTGCTATATTCTTCTTTTTCTACTTGGTGACATTAATGGGAAACACAGTCATCATCGTGATTGTCTGTGTGGATAAACGTCTGCAGTCCCCCATGTATTTCTTCCTCAGCCACCTATCTGCCCTGGAGATCCTGGTCACAACCATAATCGTCCCTGGGATGCTTTTGGGATTGCTGCTTCCTGGGATGCAGATAGTATCTTTGTCTGCCTGTGTTGTCCAGCTCTTCTCATACCTTTCTATGGGGACATTACTTGGAGCAATGGCTGTGGACTGTTATATGGCTGTGTGTAACCCTTTGAGGTGCAACATCATTATGAACAGACACACCTGCAACTTTGTGGTTCTTGTGTCATGGGTGTTTGGGTTTCTTTTTCAAATCTGGCCAGTCTACGTCATGCTTCAGCTTACTTACTACAAATCAAATGTGGTGAACAATTTTTTCTGTGACCGAGGGCAATTGTTCAAACTATCCTGCAATAATACTCTTTTCATGGAGTTTTTCCTCTTCTTAATGGCTGTTTTTGTTCTCTTTGGTTCTTTGATCCCTACAATTGTCTCCTACACCTACATCATCTCCACCATTCTCAAGATCCCGTCAGCCTCTGGCCAGAGGAAATCCTTCTCCACTTGTGCCTCCCACTTCACCTGTGTTGTGATCGGCTACAGCAGCTGCTTGTTTCTCTACTTGAAACCCAAGCAAACGCAGGCAGCTGATTACAATCAGGTAGTTTCCTTGATGGTTTCAGTAGTAACTCCTTTCCTTAATCCTTTCATCTTCACCCTCCGGAATGATAAAGTCATAGAGGCCCTTCGGGATGGGGTGAAATGCTACTGTCAACTATTCAGGAATTAGCCTTGCTCTGAGGCATTTTACATGATGAAGCACTTAGTATGGATTCTAGAATAATCTGAAAAGAACTTACTCATCTTTGAACTGCATCATAATTATTACCATTATCAAATAATTAGTGCAACAAAAGACTTTTAAGTTACAGCTACGGTTTTTAATATAGTTAGTTGTTACTTGGAACTCAGTTTATTATTTTTAAGACATGTCTTGCTATCTATCTAGCTGTCTATCTATCATCTGCCTTTCTTAAGATATAATGATTTCACAATTAAACTTTGAAAAATTAAATGTCAGAGATAGACTATATAGTCTAGAAAGTAGACTAGTGGTTGCTTAGGGCTGAGGAGAATGCAGACATAGGGTAGTGATAGCAAAGGGGTACGGGCTTTCTTTTTGAGATGGTGGCTGTAAATATCTACGAATATACCAAACACCATTGAACTGTACATTTTCAATGAGTTAATTTTATGGAATGTGAATTATATTTCAATAAAGCTATTGAAAATAGTATATTAGATGGCGAAGAAGTATTGTGAAGAAAAGTGAAACAGGAATGAAAGGGAATATCTCTTGTGGGAGTGTTGAAATTTCAAACAAGGTTTTCAGGGAAGGATTGAGAGAGGTAAGGTGGTGATACATTCGGAAACCTGTTTAAGAACATTCCAGGCATAGTGAGTAATAAGTGGGAGATCCTAGTGAAGGCATAGCAAAGATGCTGAAATGGAGTGTGCAAAGGAGAAAGCAATTGCAGTCAGAGTGGTAACTGGAATGCAGACCATGTAGAGCCTTGTGAGCCTTTTTTTTTCCAGGTATGCAAAAAGATAATATTATTTTACTTTTTTTTACTTTTTTTCTTATACTTTATGTTCTAGGGTACATGTGCACAACATGTGCCATGCTGGTGTGCTGCACCCATTAACTCGTCATTTATATTAGTTATTTCTCCTAATGCTATCCCTCCCCCCTCCCCACACTCCATGACAGGCCCTGGTGTGTGATGTTCCCTGCCCTGTGTCCAAATGTTCTCATTGTTCAATTTCCACCTATGAATGAGAACATGTGGTGTTTGGTTTTCTGTCTTTGCAATAGTTTGCTGAGAATGATGGTTTCCAGCTTCATCCATGTCCCTACAAAGGACGTGAACTCATCCTTTTTTATGGATGCATAGTATTCCATGGTGTATATGTGCTACATTTTCTTAATCCAGGCTATCACTGATGGACATTTGGGTTGGTTCCACATCTTTGCTATTGTGAATAGTGCCACAATAAACATAAGTGTGCATGTGTCTTTATAGTAGAATGATTTATAATCCTTTGGGTATATACCCAGTATTGGGATTGCTGGGTCAAATAGCATTTCTAGTTTTAGATCCTTAAGGAATCGCCACAGTGAGCCTTTTAAAGATGTTTGCTCTTTCCAGAAGCACATTGGAAAACCATCACAGGGGGCTGAAGAAGAGTGACAGAATCTGTTTAATGTTTTAACAAGATCATCCTGGTTGCGGGATGAACAATACATGAAAGGACAATAAAGGGAGAAGTATGAAGGCCAGGTGGAGATTGCATCAGTTAGATTTTGCTGTATGAGACATAACCAGAAAACTCCAGTGGTATACAGTGATAAGCTTTTATTTTCGTGCCTAGAGTTTCTGCTGATCTAGGGTGGCTCTGCTGCTCTCAGGTGGATTTGTTCATGAGTCTAAGGGTTGTATGGGGGTTGGCTGACCTAGGCTGGGCCCACATTTGAAGTCATGAAAAGTGTGCCTTTGATCTCCATGTGGCTTGGCCACAACATTGTTGAGGCACCCTTCTCTGACTTGGGCAAATTTTTATTCCTGTATTGTAAATGAGTTAACAAGTTCTGAAACATTAAGTGGCTTGCCTACATTAAGCTTCTAGCAAATTGAAAAGCTGCTTCTTGGATGAAGATCTCAACTTCAAATCCTCTACAAAATGCTTCTCCTAATGTCTAATGCCATTGAGATACATAGAGGAATGTTATTTAATATGTGCAATAATTTTTTGAGATAGGTATTACTACCCCATTTTATCAGTAAGGAAACTAAGACCAAGAAAGAGTAGGAAAACTGTACTGATTCACACAGCATATTAGAAGCAAAGTCAAAACTCAAATTCAAATTTCATTGGCTTTTTTTTTTTTTTTAAAGCATGCCACTGCTATCTAATAAAGATCACATTTATCTAAACTTGCAAGGATCCAGGAACTCTCCCAATGACAAACTTAAACCAAAGCCCACATTTTCCCTATCTACTCCCCACTCCCACCCCAGGCCACTGGGCTCCTTTTAGAACCTGCACAGAAGTGTCTCCTAATCTTGGGGGAAATTTAAACTGTCTACTAAAGAAATCACTAGATGTCTACATTTCCTGATCTTAAAAGTTTGCAGTTATTCTGTCATGAAACAGGAAGTGAAGCAACTATAGTTCTCTCTTCTCAAAACAGAGGATTAGGATTTCCTTTCTGTTGTCTGAGTTCTGGGGCTTGCCTTTGGCTAGAATTCTGTTGATTTTTCTCTCCACCTAGACTCAGCCTTACCTCCCTTCTCAACGATAGTACTTATTCTTTCCCAACACAGAGAACTTGTATCTCCACAGGCTGCTAATATAATTCCAATTTCCGCCCCATCTCAAACACAAATTACTTCTGGTGATTCTCTTTAAGCAAGTTCTGACACCTGATGTGTTATCTCATTTTTAAAAATTGTAAGTGGCCATGCTAAGGAGCCGAAAATGATGAAACCTAGGAATGCAGAAACAGAACTTAGTGTTGTAATAAAAACTATGATTTACAACATCTTGTTTGGTATGCATGTAATGATATGTGCAGTCATTACTGTGGTACATTGTTATTAGATACAAAATGGTATGCATTGTATTTAGGTGACTATTATTTCCATCAGTTTTATACATGGTCTTCCTTATGGTTTACTTATTCTTACTCAAAACACACAAGGCATCTCTTTTATCTTTCTCATGCACCAAGCTGGGTAAATAGCTGATGTCTTGTGAATGTAGAGAACAGCCAGGGTACTCCAAGACTTTTCTTCCCCTTTCTTGCCTTTCTTCCAGTGTGGCCAAATGAACGCTCAGTTTCCTGTCTCAGGTGATTTCCATTTGACCCTGATGTTCCCTTTCTACTATGTGCTTATTCCTTGCCCCCAGCCAATGTTTCCCTGAGCAGCCCTCCTCTTTTTCTATTGCTTCATCAGCTGGACCTGTTCTAGATCAATGTGATTCCAACCAGTGCCAGGCTCCTTGGGTCAGTAGGCTGTGCCTGATATCAGGTTCTCTCTAGAACTGAAGGGACGAATATATTGTGATTATTGTTGCCTAAGAGACTATCCAAAATTTTAAAAATATACTCAACAAATACAGTCAGGTACTCAAAACCTTCAGAGCAAAGGAAGCCTGCTTACCTAAATTTTGGTTACAAAGGAGTTACATATGTTATAATGGAGTTTCAGAAATATGACAAGGGAATTTTTAGCTTAAGTGTCTCTTCAGGGCTTTGCTGAAGAACAGAAATCTAGCGTGTTTTGTTCCCTTGGCTGTCTGGTTTTCTTCAAAGGGGTCTCCAAGAAGGTTCCTATCCTGCCCTGACATCTCTCCATTCCCATAAACAATGCTGTTGCCCGTGCTGCTCCAAGCTCAGCACTAGGAGCCCTCCCCAAGGCCCAGCCTTAGTTCAGACTGAGGACAGCCTCTACTACCCCAGCTTGTGGAGTTAGGAGGGGCATGTGAATGGGGTTCCCTTGAGAACAGAGATGAGGTCACAGGAGCTACGTTTATCCCTCTTCCACCATGGTAATCCCTAAATAATGTTTATAATTGCTGACTCTACAGTTGCTCCCTGGTAGTACGGTGGATACTCTGAGGCTAAAATAAAACAAACCCTGTCAACAGACTAGGCCCTTTTGATCAGTCGGAAATGCTCAGTACTACAGAAGCAGACCTCATCTCTATACCAACTGAGTTGTTTCCATAAGACTGATCCTGTCTCCTGGAGATGGCTAGCATCCAGTCCCCCCCGTGCAGAAGAAAGAAGCTCAGTTTCTCAAATGGGCAAGGACCGCTGCTGGTAGACAGATAGGTAAGTAAAAGAATCACTGGCCAGATGACCTGTGTGGATTCAAAAAGAGTTGCAAGTATGGTCTTGTCACAGGAAACTGTGATCATTTGGCATTCTTCTCACAGATCCTGCGGTAGTGGATGTCACATGATGCAGCATCAAATGTCTTTGTTAGGCCAATGGTCGCACAGTTGAAATTCTGATTCTGATTGGTAACACTAAATGAGAAAACAAAACAAAACAAAACAAACAAAAAAACAAAGCATGGTAATGGCCCATCATTTTAGCCCAGGCTCTTCTGATTCCAGAGTGAGAGTCTTGCAGGAATTTTGCCTGGAGGGGCGGCAGACTACCGGGCCCACACAGGCCTCCATTTGGGCAGCCTCCTTTTTAGCTCAGATCCCTCTCCTAATCCAGCTCCACAAGTGCAGCTGTAAACCCACCCTTTCCTGTCAGCTCTTCTGCGAGCTTGTATGGATTCACAGTCTTGGACTGACTAACTCACTGTGGTGTTCGGTTAGAAGCATCTCATGGGCTCTCTCTTCTTACAAAAGTACTGTTTAGGACAGTGCATGTGTTCACAGCGGGAGGACAGGAAGGAAAAGGAGAGAGGTTGTGCATCCCTTTCCAGACCATAGTGACTTCAGAAAAACTTGGTGGAGGTATTTGTTGGCTCTCCCACCTCTTTTTCTGTCATTCAGTCTGTTTCAGTCTGACTGAAAAGACTCTGGTTTCAGAGAAATGTCATGTGTTTTGGACTAGCTGTATGATATTTAACACATTTCTAAGTTTTTCTTGTCCTCAGTTCAACTGTCTGTGAAATGGGGAGTGATAAAAGCTTTTCATGTAGCATCATGGGGAATATTTCAGGAAACAACATATGCAAAGTGTTTAGCATAGTGCTGGCATTAGCAGACACTGAATAAATATAAATTTCCTCCTCTCTGTAGGGAAGCCCAGTTACAGGCTGGGAACTGACTTGACCTCTGTTTGAATCACTACTTTCGTGTAAACACTGGGAAAATTACTGGTGTTCTCACCAATCCTAATCTCCATGGAACAATTCACAGGAGATAGCTCTTGGGGGTCAGAAGTTCATAGCTTGGAGGCATAGACAAGTTGCTTATAATAACCTTTATTTAGATAAAGAAGGCACATCTGGGGAAACTTGTAGGTACTTTGTAATAAAATGTGATCTGTGGGTTAAAAGATGAAGCCCTTTTGATCAGTCAGAAACGCTAGGTGTTATAGAAACCGATCTCATCTCTATACCAACTGGGTTGTCTCCACAAAACTGACTGTGTCTCCTTGAGATAGCTAGTATCCAGTCTAGACTCATATCTAGTCTGTTTGAAGTCAAGAGACTAAGCTTTTTTGATCAGTCAGAAATGCTCAGTGCTATACAAACTAGCATCTAAAGAGAGCTACACGATACATCAAATGCGTGCTATGTTTGTGGATTTGTTTGGATCCTGATTTGAATAAAATAATTTGCTATAGAATACTCTTCTCTTTCCTTATGAAAGTTTGATCTCTTTCATAAGAAAAAGTTTATTAAAATGTGTCTCAGGGAATAGATGGGTTGGAAGAAAGGAGAAGAGCAGAACAGAGTCAAGCGTCAGCGTTTGAGCTATTCCAGAGTGAACCCACCAATCTCAGGTTTGGTCTTTTGAAGCAAACCAAGATCCCCAGGAAACTGTGGGATGTTCACGTACTTGCCATTGAACACAGAGTTGTTGATCCAACGCCACCTTTTCTCTTCACGATTGTAAATTAAGCCAATAAAATACTTCTCTGTATCAGCTATGTCCTGAAGAAACTTCTAGAAATTAAAAAAAAAATGTCAACAGTGACTCTTTTAATGATGCCTCTCTGGAGCCAATGTGCCCATGATTGTATCTGATCCTGGGAATAAGGAAGGCTGGTAGGGAACTCTGAGACCAGCTACAGCTGGGACTCATCACTAAGCCTAAAGAAGTCGTTGTCAGGCTTCACAGGGAATCTGGAAAGCCTGAGGTCTTGTTAAAACAGATTGCAAGGCTCCTGGTTATGTAGGTCTAGTGAAGGGAACCAATAATTTACTTTTCTACAAAATGCCCAAGTGATACTGATGTTTCTGTCCAGGGACCACACTGTGAGAATAAAGGGGAAGGGGTACTATGCAATTAAAAACAGGGTCATTTAAAAAAATATGTCATGCTTCTATCCATAGGATTGTTTTTGTTACCAGAAATTTTGTATGCTAAGTAAGGCTGAATCAAGTGTTAATAAAATGTGTTTCTATTTATTGAGTACTTAGGAAAGGAAAACAGTGAGATTTAGAAGTATATTGCTTTTAGAAGTGTAATCCAAGAAGAAATAAGCAAGTGCTTGTTGAATATTTGCTAATTTGACACTAGTCCTAGACATCTTTGTTCTGTATTTATTTGATAAGTTACAAATCATTTCAGCCAGAAGTGTTTTCTATACCTCCCATAATCAGTGGGTATCCAAGTCTTATTCTTTCCATCCCCATGACTGTTTCCTTAGTTTCTCCCTTTTCAGTGTTCTCCTTTTCTGAAATATCTTATTTCATTACTTTTTAATTAATTACTGAATGTTCTCATTTACCAAACATCTTTTGAGTGTCTATTATGTGCCATGCATTGTATTAGGCTGAGGATATGGAAGCAAATATATTTCTCCTCAAAGAAATTATGATCAAGAGGGTTGGCAAACTACAGCCAGTGGGCCAAATCCAGACTTCATCCTGTTTCGGTAAATGTTTTATTGGAATGCACCCATGCCCATTGTTTACATATTATCTATGGCTGCTTTCAAGTTACAACAGCAGAGACCAATGCCCTGAAAAGCTTAAAATGTGTATTATCTGACCCTTTTTAAAAAAAGTGTTCTGACCCATAGTCTAAAACCAGAATCCTTAATGCTGAACTCTCACGCTGGAAGCCATGGATGGTTTCCCAGGAAAACTATGAAACCACTGGAATATTATGAAAAATATTTTGCTTATGTAGTGTTTCTGGGAAGAGGTACATAGATTTTATCACCATTTAAAAAAAGTCAGTGGTCTTTGAACCACTGATTCCAGAGTGAGAGTCTGTTTGAAGAACCACAGGTTTAATGAGGGAAGACAACCAACTTAAGTAGCATAATGAAGTATCTCAGGTGTTGTACTAGGGAATTATACACTAGATCTGGAAGACGCAGGAAGGAGGAAGCGATCATTCTACATAGATCTGAAGTTTTTCTAGAATGATAGATGAGGTGATACCTGAGATGAATTTTAGGAGATAGCTAAGTTTGTCAGACAAACTGTCGGGGAAGGAATGGACTTCTGGAAGACAGCATGGATTACAGGCAGGTGGGGAAGCAGCCTGGAGCATTTGAGGAACTGCAAGATGCTCAGCGTAGTTAGTGTAGAGGGGGCAGGGAGGCGGTTTGAGAGACAAGGCTGGAGAGAAGACAGAGGTGACACTGTGCAAGGCCTGATACGATGTAAGGTACATGGATGTGCTTTGGTCAAGGAGTAGACCGAGGCAGACATCTGGGCCAAAGTGACTCAGTGAGTTTAGGGAGCAGGCATATATATGTGTGTGTGTGTGTGTGTGTGTGTGTATATACTTGCTATATAACCTGTTTGTGTAAGCTGATGCTTAGCTCAGAGCCACTGTTGTTTGAAAAAGGTATAATTGACCTGGCGATGTTGTGCACGTGGCTTGGCTCGGCTCAATGTGTCTTGACATGGTACAGGCGCTGGTGCCCAGAGAAAGAGAGAGCGAACCAAGGCTGTCCATCTTGCAGATGGACAGAGGGGAGCCAGGACACAGCTCAGCATGCACTCATGTCCAGAGGGAGAAAGAGTTAAGCTGCTGACCCTGAACACAAGGGAGAGCTGGCTGTGCTGCTGTGCATGGGAGCGGCCGGATCAAGCAGCCAGACAGTGTGAGAAAGCTGCTGATGAAAGAGTTGCTGAATAAAACTACATTTCACCTGCTTATGGCCCCCTGAGTGTTCTTTCAGCTATCTGCCACCCACTCTCTCCCCTAGGACCTCAGCATGGGCTGGAACCTGACCATGAGTGTGACATTTGACGTAGTCATGAACCTAACATATGCCATGCTAGGAGAACTGGGGTTTAACCCATTTTAATTTGGAAAATGGCAGAGTTTAGAGCCTTAGAGGTATTATGATGTCAGTTCTGAGGAGGATAGCTAGAAAGAGTGCAAAACAGGAGGCAAGGAGATGGATTAGAAGAATTCTGAAGAAATCCAGGTAAGAACTGAACTATTTGTTGTGGGCATAGAGAGAAAAGGACTTGGTTAACAAATAATTGAGGAGGAAAAGACAAGGTAAAGTCCCGGAAAACTCTTAGCCTTCAATCTTGGGTGACATGAGTACTCACCAGTATTTGGAATGTAAAAGGAGTAGCAGTGGGGTCAAATATAACTGACTCAGTTTTGAACATAGTGAGTTTGTGGGACTCTTGAAACATCAAAGTGGAATTTGGTATACCTGTTTGGAGGAGAAGGATGAGCTGGAGATACAGACTTGAGAGTCACCGGCAAACCATTGGCATGATGACCTTTGTCTTTTTCTTTTCCTTTTTTTTTTTTTTTTCGAGGCAGAGCCTTGCTCTGTTGCCCAGGCTGGAGTGTAGTGGCACAATCATGGCTCACTACAGTCTCTGCCTCCTGGGTTCAAGCAATTTTTGTGCCTCAGTCACTTAAGTAGCTGGGATTGCAGGTGTGTACCACCTTACCTGGCTAATTTTTAGTAGAGACATGGTTTCACCATGTTGGCCAGGCTGGCCATGATGACCTTTTTCATCACCAAGGATGCAAATTAGGATCCACAAAACTTAATGGGTGTGGCAGACTTGTCACACTTGCTTCTTCGCTTTGCCTTCCCTCCTTTCCTCTTTTCATTCCCCTGTCTTGCTCCTGTTTTTCTACCTTAGGACATTTTCCCTTGCTACCTGGGTACTTAGCCCTAGAGGGTTTGTAGCATCCAAATCCCTTGGTCATCTATTACCAAGATTCAGAAAGGAGATCATCTTACAAGTTCTTTTAAATCACAGGAGGACTTTTTAGAGGAGGAATAAAGGGATAGAAGTGAGAGAAGCAAGAGTAGAGTGTATGTAGCACAGATTAGAGTATGGGTTTCGGAGTCAGAGAGATTTGAGTTCAATTCTGTGTTTTGTTATTTGACCTTGGGCAAATTACTTTTCTGTGCCCTAGTTGCCAGTTATAAAATGTGGATAGTAATACATCTTCATGATTATTATCATGATCATCTACTGCAAATTCAGTTCTATGACCGGATTCTCAGTTTTTCACATTGCTAATTTTGTCAGTTCACGTCTTCCTTGTTTACTACGCAGACTGGGATGATGCACTGACATCACATCTATGAGGTATTCTTTTAGTTGTTAAACAACTTTTACACACATCATCTCATTTGGTCATTTGCTTCACTTTAAATATCTTGGCCCATCCCCAGGATATCAGCTCATTACTGTGCTCTGTAGAAAAAACCACAAGGTGTGAATTTCTGTGGTTAAATGAAACTGAAAAACATGCTGCTTCACTGCTACTAAGAAGAGTCTCCTAACCCCCAGTCCAGAACAAATAGCTTCAGTTTTTCAGCCAGCCACCTCTCCATTCCTCACTCAATCCCATCCCTGCTTCCCCAAATTTCCACCCCATCCCACCCACTGAGGCTGTGTAGAGTGTGTGGCTTTACTGTACCATTCCAGTGTCCTCACCAGTTTCTCTGGCGTGTCGACAATTGCCAATGTGGATCCTTTTCTTTTGCAAAAGTCCCTGCTTTCATTCCAAGATGATTCAGAAGTAGGTAAGAGAAAACATCTTTCTTGATAAAATTCCCAGTCTTTGGGGCAGACTGAAGAGGTCCAAGAAAGGAGAGTATGAGTTTACTGGTTCGGGGTATAAATCCTGGAATAAGTCATGAAACAGTGATACATATTTTTGTTTTAACGATTATATTGGTAAAAATTATTCTCCATCCAGGAAGAAATTCCACCCAGTCTAGTCTGGTTCCCTGACAATAATCTAAGGAGAATAAGGAGAAGAGCACAATGGTTGAATAGAAGTTTCCATTAGTCATACCCCTACAGGAACACCAAATCTGACAACTATCTACACATAAAAAAGCACATATACATACCTGAGAACAAAAAATCAGATGAACACGCAGTTCCTGGGTAGCTGAAAGAGGCACTGCAGAGGGTAGGAAAGACAGTCTTGAACTGCTGACACCACCCCTGCCCTATGCCTGCTGCAGTGACAGCATGGCATGGTAAAGTCTGTGTGCATGGGAGAGGGAGTGTGCAGGGATCGTGAGACTTTACATTGGACTCAGTGCTGCCCTCTTACAGTGGAGGGCAAAATGGACCAAACTCAGCTGATGCCCACCCATGGAGGAAGCATTTAGATGAGTGCTAGCCAGAGGGGAATAACCCACCCAGTGGTTGAAACTTGAGTTCTGGCGAGCCTTGCCCACTGTGAGCTGAATGGCTTTGGGGCCCTAAATAAACATGAAAGGTAGTCTAGGCCACAAGGACTGCAACTCCTAGGCAAGTCCTTGTGCTGAGCTGGGCTTTGAGCCAGTGGAATCATAGGGTACCTACTGAGATACCAGCCAGGGTGACCAAGGGAATGCTTGTGCCATTGCTGTCCCAACCCCAGGGAGCACAACTTGCAGCTCCAGAAGAGACCCTTGCTTTCTGCTTGAGAAGAGGAGAGGGAAGAGTAAAGAGTACTTTGTCTTGCATCTTGGATGCAAGCCACAGTAAAATAGGGCACTAGTCAGAGTTGTGAGGTCTCCATTCCAAACTCTAGTTCCTAAAAGACATTTGTAGACACACCTAGACATACCCTGGGCCAAAAGTGAATCCTCTGTCTTGAAGATAAGTACACAGTTCTGACAGGACCCCTCACCTGCTGATGAAAGAATTCTTGGCCCCTGAATAACAAGCAGCCATCCCTAGGTAGTATGTTATGGGCCTTGGGTGAGACTGAGATGTCTCGGGCTTCAAATGAAACCCAGCACATTCTTCTGCTTGAGAAAAGAAGAGAGAAAAGTAAAGGGGGCTTTGTCTTGCACCTTATGTAACAGCCTGGCCATAGAGAAGTAAAGGTCAGCTCTTGGGGTCCAAGATTCCAGGCCTTGACTCTTGAATAGCATTTCTGGACCTGCCCTGGACCAGATAGAAGCCCACAGACATAAAGGGTGGGTTCTAGGCCTGGCAGCATCTGTGACAAGCTGACCAAAGAGCCCTTGTACCTTAAACAAAAATCAGTGGTAGTCTGGTGGTAACCCTGTGGGCCTGTGATGGTAGTGGTCATAGGGTGAAGCTCCACTGCCTGCAGAAAGGGGAGGGAAGAGTGGAAAGAACTATGTCTCATGATTGGAGTTCCGGCTCAGCTACAGGGGGGATAGAACACCAGGTAGATTTATAAGGTTTTTGACTCCAGTCCCTGGTTCTAAGACAGAATCTCTGGACCTATTTAAGGCCTGGTGGAACTCATTGCCCTGAAGGGAAGGTCACAGGCTTGGTTAACTTCACCATATGCTAATTATAGAGCCGTAGGATCTTGACAAAACATAAACAGTAGCCAGGTAGTGGTTGTAGTGGGCCTTGAGTGAGACTCAGTGCTGTGCTGGCTTCAGGTCTGAGCCAATGCAGTCCCAGTGCTGGTGGTCACAGGGATGCTTGTGTCACCCCACTCCCAGCCCTGGGCAGCTCAGCACAGAGAAAGAGATTCTGTTTGGGAAAAAGTAAGGAAAAAGAACAAGAGTCTCTGTCTGGTAATCCAGATAAATCTTTCAGATCTTATCCAAGACCGACCAGGTGGGTACCTGTACGAGTCTGCAAGACCCACAGCGTTACTGGGCTTGGGATGTCCCCCATGCAGATAGAGCTTAGGTCACAACACCCAAGTCCTTTTGAATACCTGGAAAGCCTTCCCAAAAAGGACGGATATAAACAAACCCAGATCATGAAAGCTACAATAAATACCTCTCTTCTATGCCCAGACACTGATGAACATCCACAAGTATCAAGACCATTCAGGAAAACATGACCTCACTAATTGAGGTAAATAAGACACCAGGGACCAATCCTGGAGAAACAGAAATATGTGACCTGTTAGACAGAGAATCCAAAATAGCTGTGTTGAGGAAACTCAAATAAATGCAAGATAACACAGAGAAGAAATTCAGAATTCTATCAGAAAAACTAAGAGATTGAAATAATTAAAAAGGATCAAGCAGAAATTCTGGAGTTAAAAAATGAAATTCGCATACTGAGGAATACATCAGAATATTGTAATAACAGAACCAGAGGGGTCACAGAAGTCAAAGGAGACAAAAGAAAAAAGAATGAGGGGGATGGCCGAATAGGAACAGCTCCAGTCTCCAACTCCCAGCTCAAGCGACACAGAAGACCGGTGATTTCTGCATTTTCAACTGAGGTACTGGGTTCATCTCACTGGGGAGTGCCAGACGATCGGTGCTGATCAGCTGCTGCAGCCTGACCAGCGAGAGCTGAAGCAGGGCGAGGCATTGCCTCACCTGGGAAGCGCAAGGGGGAAGGGAATCCCTTTTCCTAGCCAGGGGAACTGAGACACACAACACCTGGAAAATCGGGTAACTCCCACCCCAATACTGCGCTTTAAGCAAACAGGCACACCAGGAGATCATATGCCCACACCTGGCCGGGAGGGTCCCACACCCACGGAGCCTCCCTCATTGCTAGCACAGCAGTCTGTGATCTACCGGCAAGGCAGCAGCCAGGCTGGGGGAGGGGCGCCTGCCATTGCTGAGGCTTAAGTAGGTAAACAAAGCTTCTGGGAAGCTTGAACTGGGTGGAGCTCACAGCAGCTCAAGGAAACCTGCCTGTCTCTGTAGACTCCACCTCTGGGGACAGGGCACAGTAAACAATAACAAACGCAGCAGAAAGCTCTGCAGACGCAAACGACTCTGTCTGACAGCTTTGAAGAGAGCAGTGGATCTCCCAACACGGAGGTTGAGATCTGAGAAGGGACAGACTCCCTGCTCAAGTGGGTCCCTGACCCCTGAGTAGCCTAACTGGGAGACATCCCCCACTAGGGGCAGTCTGACACCCCACACCTCACAGGGTGGAGTACACCCCTGAGAGGAAGCTTCCAAAGCAAGAATCAGACAGGTACACTCGCTGTTCAGGAATATTCTATCTTCTGCAGCCTCTGCTGCTGATACCCAGGCAAACAGGGTCTGGAGTGGACCTCAAGCAATCTCCAACAGACCTACAGCTGAGGGTCCTGACTGGTAGAAGGAAAACTATCAAACAGGAAGGACACCTACACCAAAACCCCATCAGTACATCACCATCATCAAAGACCAGAGGCAGATAAAACCACAAAGATGGGGAAAAAGCAGGGCAGAAAAGCTGGAAATTCAAAAAATAAGAGCGCATCTCCCCTGGCAAAGCAGCGCAGCTCATCGCCAGCAACGGATCAAAGCTGGACGGAGAATGACTTCGACGAGATGAGAGAAGAAGGCTTCAGTCCATCAAATTTCTCAGAGCTAAAGGAGGAATTACGTACCCAGCGCAAAGAAACTAAAAATCTTGAAAAAAAAGTGGAAGAATTGATGGCTAGAGTAATTAATGCAGAGAAGGTCATAAACGAAATGAAAGAGATGAAAACCATGACACGAGAAATACGTGACAAATGCACAAGCTTCAGTAACCGACTCGATCAACTGGAAGAAAGAATGTCAGCGATTGAGGATCAAATGAATGAAATGAAGCGAGAAGAGAAACCAAAAGAAAAAAGAAGAAAAAGAAATGAACAAAGCCTGCAAGAAGTATGGGATTATGTAAAAAGACCAAATCTACGTCTGATTGGGGTGCCTGAAAGTGAGGGGGAAAATGGAACCAAGTTGGAAAACACTCTTCAGGATATCATCCAGGAGAACTTCCCCAACCTAGTAGGGCAGGCCAACATTCAAATCCAGGAAATACAGAGAACGCCACAAAGATACTCCTCGAGAAGAGCAACTCCAAGACACATAATTGCCAGATTCACCAAAGTTGAAATGAAGGAAAAAATCTTAAGGGCAGCCAGAGAGAAAGGTCGGGTTACCCACAAAGGGAAGCCCATCAGACTAACAGCAGATCTCTCGGCACAAACTCTCCAAGCCAGAAGAGAGTGGGGGCCAATATTCAACATTCTTAAAGAAAAGAATTTTAAACCCAGAATTTCATATCCAGCCAAACTAAGTTTCATAAGTGAAGGAGAAATAAAATCCTTTACAGATAAGCAAATGCTTAGAGATTTTGTCACCACTAGGCCTGCCTTACAAGAGACCCTGAAGGAAGCACTAAACATGGAAAGGAACAACCGGTACCAGCCATTGCAAAAACATGCCAAAATGTAAAGACCATCAAGGCTAGGAAGAAACTGCATCAACTAACAAGCAAAATAACCAGTTAATATCATAATGGCAGGATCAAGTTCACACATAACAATCTTAACCTTAAATGTAAATGGACTAAATGCTCCAATTAAAAGACACAGACTGGCAAACTGGATAAAGAGTCAAGACCCATCAGTCTGCTGTATTCAGGAGACCCATCTCACACGCAGAGACATACATAGGCTCAAAATAAAGGGATGGAGGAAGATTTACCAAGCAAATGGAGAACACAAAAAAGCGGGGGTTGCAATACTAGTCTCTGATAAAACAGACTTTAAACCATCAAAGATCAAAAGAGACAAAGAAGGCCATTACATAATGGTAAAGGGATCAATTCAACAGGAAGAGCTAACTATCCTAAATATATATGCACCCAATACAGGAGCACCCAGATTCATAAAGCAAGTCCTTAGAGACTT